TCGTCAATTAGAAACTCCTGATTTCGATAATTTTTTTATTCAGCAATCACAAAGCTCATCGAAGAGTGACTCTGCTCCTTGGTGGAGGGAGGTTTGGCAGAATTAAGAAGAAAATGAGTGCTTGCCATTATCCCACGATAAACACAAACTTTGTATAGGAAAGCTCTCCGAAAATTATATGACGGCTACATTCCCCATGTCATAGTTGCAGTTTATGCTGTTGCTCATGCTCTGCATGACATGGAAAACTGTTCTGCAACGCAATGCAAACCTCTTTGCAAATTAGACCAGAAGGGGCTGGAGAACTTTCTTCGCCGTGTGGACTTCCAAGGACTGACTGGATGGGTGAGATTTGATCAGAGCGGGGATCCTCTAACATCCTCCTTTGATATTGTGCACCTCCAGGTTAATGAAAGATCAAATCTAGGAAAAAAGATCATCGGCTCATGGGACAAAAACCGAAAGCAAAAACTACAGTTGAATCTAACTAACTTTAGGTGGAACTCAGTTTCAAGCCAAAACGTCGTTGCAAAGTCATTCTGCCACACGGACTGCCCGGCGGGTACATTCCAGTTACCATTAAGCCCATGCTCTTGGACTTGTCATAAATGTTTAAACGGAACAATCAGTGCCGTAATAAATAATATGAATTGCACTGCGTGTCCTTGGGCACAAATAGCCAATGAAGGGAAAACAAAATGCCTGGATCTTCCAGAAGCTGAAGTCCATTGGTCGAGCGTTCTATCTGTCCTTGTCATCGTTTTTACGACAGTTGGTCTTATCCTGATCGTCGTTTGCTTGTTACATGCTTCATAAGTATCGCAACACACCGCTGGTAAAGGCTGCAAATCTTGAATTGAGCTTGATTCTGCTGTTCGCGATCGCAATGTCCTTTTCTGTATCTATTACATCACTTGCCAAGCGTACAAGCTTCGTATGCAGATTGGTTTACTGCTGGCGTCCCTTGGTGCTTGCAACATTCATCTCCATCTTGACAGTCAAAACTATCAAGATTCTCAGTGCATTTCAAATAAACGTTATAGCAGAATGGTTCAAAAAATGTATCTCAACCAGAAAGAGTCAAACACTTCTCACACTGGTACTCATCGCTGTTCCTGCTGTGTTCATATCCTTATGGATTGCTTTGGATTCACCTCGTCAACAGCGAATCATACGGCCCAGTGAAAGTATCGTTTTCCTTGTGTGTTCCCTCCACCAACTATTGACTGGACAGATTCTACAAATTGCGATCTCTGTTTACATAGTACTTCTTGCAGTCATCTGCACTTTCTACGCCTTTAAAGCAAGGGCGCTACCGGAGAACTTTAATGAAGCAAGATTCATTGGATTTTCTATGTACATATTACTCCTTTCGTCTGAGACATATCTTCCCATCGATATCGGTATCGAAGGTTCCATTGCAATAAACATAACCTGCGCATTGATCCTTTTGAGCTCTTATGGAATTTTAATCTGCATGTTTGGTCCAAAGATCTACGTGATTCTGCGGTTTTCACCCAAAGCCATCAGCCATCAGAGTTTCTTTTTATCGGCTCCCGCCATCATCATCTCTTATTTCTATCGGCTCCCGCCATCAGCTGGCAAAGACGACAATCAATTCTATCGTCGTTGGTGAATCTAGCATTAAACCCTCAGGAAGGGTTCGAAATCTGTAGTAAAGCTTTTCACGGTCTGTATAAAATAAGACAGATTAGAAAATTTCTCAATGTTAGGCACGACAAAAACATTGGTCCATACATTTGTATCCTCCCACCTTGACTACTGCCACGCCCTTCTCTTTAGCCTACCTAATATATCAACTCCATCGCCTTCAGAAAGTCCAGAACGCAGCAGCTAGAGTTGTTTTTCAGTTGTCTAAGTTCGGCCACATAACGCCTGTTCTTGTTGACCTACACTGGCTCCCTTTAGAGTTCCGAGTCCAGTTCAAACTGCTTCTCAATGTCTATAAGTCCTTACATAACCAAGCTCCAGATTATATTAACGATCTTCTGTCTTTGAAAACCGAATCCAATTATTCTCTTCGTTCGTCCTCACAGTTTCTTCTCTCAGTTCCCAGAGTCAACCGCTGTACATCTGGGGGTCGTGCTTTCACCCACGCTGCACCGGTTTTATGGAAATCATTACCGCTGACTATTAGATCTAGTAGCAGTATTTCTATGTTTAAAAAAGGCTGAAAACTTTTCTTTTTAAAAAGGCTTTTAATTTGTGACTTTTGGTCTATTCGATATATATTTTTAGTGTACAGCGCTTTTGAGTATTGATCAATAGTTAAAGCGCTCTATAAATGTATTATTATATTATTATTGTTTATTATATGGCTGTGTCTCACAAGGACTGGGAACTATCGAATTCACGAATTTGATTGGCTGAAATCAATATTGAAAGCGGTCTAGATTTTCCCATCTAGACCGGCATCTAGACCGGTCTAGAAAAAAAAGGTACAAAGAATATAAAAAATTGGCAGATAAGACACAGCCATATAATAAACATCTTATTAACCGAGCTAGGTCGGTCTGTATGGGAGAATCTTGACCTCGGTCGCTGGTACAGACCTCACTGCGTTCGGTCTGTACTGGCGACCTCGGTCAAGATTCTCCCATACAGACCTCCCGCTCGGTTAATAAGAACTAANGAAGAAAGGCGTGTGAAAATAAGCTGTCGATAAATTCCTGTGTTGAAGCATGATGATTGTATTTGGAGAAGGTTTACGTTAAAGTCTCCCATCACATAACAATGTTTATTGTCTTTAGAAATTAGTGAGAGACTATTGCTGAATTTGTCGATAAACATAGCAGTGTTTTGATTTGGTGGTCTGTACACGCAACCGACAATAATGTTTTACCGTGGGGAATGATAATTTCCAAGAAGAGTGATTCATGCAATTACATCTGGATCTGAAAATTTGCATTCTTCGAGAAGTTTGAATTCAAGGCCGTTTTGTAAATAAATTCCAACGCCACCGTCTATTTTCGATTTACGATGGTTGGAGACAAAATTGTATCCTGTGATTTGAATTGCTCTAGTGCGACCCGGCCCTTACTTCGAATTTCAGCCTTCCGTTTTTTGATAGCGGGAAACTGCCACATACGGTCTTAGACTGCTAAGATGGCCAAGTGAACATGGAGAAAATGATGATGTCCAATTATTTTCTCTTGATCGTGAGTTAATCGCACGGGCACTCACAAAATTACAGCCGGGCAAAGAAGTGACCGAGCGCTGAATAAGGCCTGGACCATGATAATCCGTTAATTTTTTTAAAGAATCCTTCTTAGTTTCAAGCAAAACGAAACAAAACATCTTTGACCATAGTGGATTTTTCGTTTAGCTCTCAACGGTGCAAAAAACGCGCATGTTTTAAAGCGTTTTCGCCTATAATTCAAAATAAACTCTCAATGATGTTGCAAGAAATCATCTTTTTCAAACTGCCACAGTTGTACGTGTCAACACTGGAAACGAAGGTTGTTAAAAACGATGCATTTTGGAAGAAAAACACCTCACCCTTTCCCTAACGATTACCTTTTTCTTAGCTTTAATTTGTCGGGTGATTAAGTCTACAGTGACTGTGCTAATAAGACTACAGTGACTGTGCTAATAAGACTACAGTGACTGTGCTAATAAGACTACAGTGACTATGCTAATAAGACGACAGTGACTGGCCAAAACGCATCGAAAGGCCTGCGTTAGCGAATGGATAGGGAGGGATACCTTTTCTGAAGTTGCTGTCATTCTCTGTCACTTCCATAACAACAATCTGACATACACGGGTTCTGCTAAAGCAGAAGTAATTTCAACACAAGTTCAAGTTTTAAGACACAATGCCGAGGCATTCAGATTCTAAGTTTTAACGCTGTGCCAGGAAGAGATTTTTACAACGTCCAATTCCCAGCAGTGGAAACTTGATCCGATCAACCTGGAACAGCCTAGCTTTGTTCCATACAAAGCGAGATGTTTGTAAAAAACTTGGATGCAAGCCTAACGAATAAAAGGGACGCTGTTGCCAGATGATTTTTACTTACTGGCAAACGATGCTATACATGAAGGAAGATTCATTTTTTCTTGCAATTTTCATATAAAAAATGTCAGTATTATCATATTTTTCCATCAAACGGGGAAATGTTTTATTATATTGGGGAGGGTTATTCTGAATGAAAGAATGAATAAATATGAAGTGGCAATGGTTTGGCATGGTTACATTCATGCTGAACAAAAAAGGTAATCTCACCGTGACAAGTCGGTTGAATAATTTGCAACTTTGCCGGGCAAATGATTTGGCCTATCTTCGTCAAACGTAATGGACGAAATGGATATTTACAATCAAGCTATAGTGCCATTTTTGCGATGGCGTGCTCTACTTGGGGGAAGCACAATTTCAGAGAAATTTCCAACCGGCGAAGAAAAGTAAACAGACAGAAGCCTCTGACGATTTGTAATAATAGTTCTTTTCATGAGGGATGTTCATAAAGCTGGAATGATTTGTATATCAATAAAGCTGAAATTAGACTTTCCTTACGCCTACATGGTAAAAAAAAAAACCGTTTGGCCCTTATTTTTACGTGCAAAATGGAGTACATGAAATGTGACATAAAATTATTGACGGCGAAAAAGGATATTACTAGCTTAATTTTGCTTCGTTCCGTGAAATTTTATCTCCTTTTCTTTTTTAATCTCTTGATATATTTTTGATACTCAAATGTCTTCCTGAACACCTGCTCATCGTGGGCGAGACCCGAGGGAAAGTATTTAATAAATTAGTATTTACTGAGCGCCCACGAAACCTTAAAAAATGCCAATAACATATGGCAATTTGAAAAATTAGAAAACGCTTGCAAAAATACATCACACAAACAAACACATGCCATGTATACAAGTACCCCAACTAACCAATTTCAAGTTCGGAAGAATGCGTAAGCATACATAAATTCAATTGAACTATCACAAAAAATCGTGATGCAAGCATCTCTCAAAATGCCGTTTCATGACAACCTTGTGCTTACATATACACAAACACATACAAAGGTAAACTATCATCATAGCACAGATTTGCTTTGATCCAGCTAATTGTAGGACCTGAGGTAAAAAGAAGATTTGTCCCATTTTTAGCTCATCCGTAGCCTTTGGTTTCGCAAATACTAAGCAAAAAAGGCGCGAAAATGGCATCCTAGAATTGATGCCGTCGATTGGCTAAAATGCAGTTCAGCTGCACGGGCGCATGAGTTATAATAACGGGAAAGGTTGAACGAGAGGAGTAATACGCGTAAACATAGTTTACTTTGAAGTAAAGCGAAGAGTCATTTAGAAAAATTAACGAGCTCAGGCCAAAAGAATTCATGGCGCTTGGCCCAGCTCCACTCTTATATCGGGTTCTTCGTTTAAATCAGCTGCAGCGTCCATAAAAACCTCCACTGTTGGTTTATCAAAGTTTGTAAGACGCACGAGATTAACAGAGCTCTTGGGCTCGGTGCGGAAAAATTCCAACACGGCCGAGAACAGAATCTTTGCGCATCGTGCCTTGGGAAATCCAAAAATGCCGCTACTTATGGCAGGGACAGCTACACTACTCAGAAGCCTGCAATGACATTCGGACAAAGAATTGTACATGGCTGAGTGGAGGCTACTGTCCTCATCTTTTTGGCCTCCCATCCACACTGGACCTAAAAATAAGAAAGAAAAAAAATGATAGCAGTCATAACAACACTTAAAATTGACTCAAAACATTTGATAATAATAATGATGATGACCTGTCAAGTCCGTCACAGTCTCCGCTGACTCGAGGGTTGGGGCCAAAGAAGCACAAAAGGTTAAAAAATATCAGGACCTTGCAGAAGAGATTAAAAAATATGGAAAGTGGAACTTCAGTACTCTACGTGGTGCTGGAGGCCTAAAGAACTGTCACTGAAAAAAAACTTTAAAATAATTGTCGTTTAGATTGAAGCCAACTTTCAAAGTAATTAGTTTTTAGAATGCACTATTATTTATAGTCTAGTTTTTATATAAGTTGATCCAAATTTACCACTTTTAATCTACATTATTTTATGGCTGTCTCTCACAAGGACTGGGAACTACCGAATCCACGAATTTGATTGGCTGAAATCAATATTGAAAGCGTTCTAGATTTTCCCATCTAGACCGGCCTAGAAAAAGAAGGTTCAAAGAATATAAACAATTGGCATATAAGACACAGCCATATAATAAACATCTTATTAACCGAGCTAGGTCGGTCTGTGTGGGAGAATCTTGACCTCGGTCAAGATTCTCCCATACAGACCGACCTAGCTCAGTTAATAAGAACTAAAAATATTCACACAAGAACTGACACGCAAGTTCATACATTTTAAATGTAAGTGAAATGACAGGTTTGAGCAAACTCCACAATATTGTATTTGCTCTGCTTTTTAGGCTTAAGCAGTACTTTGATAGACGGTCATTGTTAACAGGAAAAAAAAGAGAAGTAAAACAAAATTCATTAAAAAAACAACTCATGAAGAAGCAAACTCACCTAAAAGGTCTTTTGTGCCTAGGACTGCAGTTTTATTTTGAAATGGTTGCAAAAACTGAACAATGACGGGTGCCCAGTCTAATGAGTGCAGTTTTAAAAACTGTAGTCTCACATTTTTCCATACCCGAGCCTTCCTTATATAGGCGTTTTTTTTTTCTTTTTTCGCGGACAGTTTATCGTTTATAGGCTTCAGGTGATTTTCTTATTGTAACGATTTTAACGCTAAAAGTTAAAATTGAAGTTTAAGTTGATCACCAGTTTCGCACAAGTCGCTACCAAGTAATAAAGATTAGACTAAAAAAGACACAAACAAACAACAAAAAAAGAAAAGCAACAACAACAAATACAAACTGTCTTTGGCATGCAGTTCAAGTTTGATTTTGAAGATAAAGTGGAAAACAAATACTAAACCATACTAGCTAAATCAAAGAATTTCTTAGGAAAAATCACTCAAGGAACATGCTTTGTCTTGTATACAATCTGTGTAGGGCGAGCAGGGGTTATGAATTTTTCTGTTTAAACTCCTAATTTACTCCATTTCGTTTCCAAAAATTGCTTTGATACCACGTAAATGTGCTACCATGATTATTCTTAAATTTAGACAATAAAGTGCTTATACCTCAATCATATTGCACGTTATAAAATGGAGTTAAGGAAAATGAGCGAAAGGGAAAAGCCGAGGATTTGAACTCTGTTTCACTGTTAGAGTTCTTAGCATGATAACGCGCCAATTTAACAGAAACTTTGATGATTCGATTGTGAACTAGCGGTTTGTTATTCAAATATAAATAACTTCCAAGTTTGATTGCGAAAGCGGCACTACTCTTCCCTTGATTGAAGCTGCAGTTGTAATGGTTCACAAGTGTTCGAAAAGTTTTAATTAACATTCAGAGGCGTAATTTTTCGCTTAGTGTCGTCCAGACCTCGCTCTTCTTGTCACAAACCTCCCCACCCCACCCCCTTTATGTGTCTAGGCTGCAACAATCATTACCACATCCTCCCCCACAAAGGCTGTGTTNTATGTTTTGCAATTTAAAATTAAAGTGCTACTGAAACGTAATTTTCATATCCGAGATTTTTGCAATATAATAGAGTTTGAACGTTATTTGCAAACGCTGTGTACTTTTTTTGGGCCAACGCATAGCGGAAAGTACATTTTTAACAATTCGAAGTTGACCGGCTGAGATCAAAATTGGCGGCCATCTTGGCGCGGCCAAAACAGCCCTGTGACGTCACTGGTTGTGTACTTCTGTAAAAGACGGGTAAAACCATGGAGTGTGGCTTGCATGTTGGGAAGCCGAAAAAGAGGATTTCATTGGATTTTCTGTCTACATATTACTCCTTTCGTCTGTGGCATATCTTCCCATCGACACCGGTATCGAAGGTTCCATTGCAATAAACATAAACCTGCGCATTGATCCTTTTGAGCTCCTACGGAATATTAATCTGCATGTTTGGTCCAAAGATTTACGTGATTCTGCTTACGCCTGAGCAAAATACCCAAGAGGCTGCGTGTTCTCAAGTATCGGAATACTCTTTCAGAATCTTTCGCAAGGGCAAGAACGTAGCTGAACTGGCGCAGTCAGATACGACAATTAACAAAGCCTGTTCGCAATTGAAAATTCCATCCACAACTCCCTCGTAAATTTAGCGCCACCCAATGAGGAGAGCCTCTGTGGAATGAATCTTCTTGTGATGCAAGCTTTTGATCAACATGTGACGCGGTCATAATGTGATCTGTCTTTTCTGTATATCTATCCTGATTGAAATCTACTTACAACGAAGTTAAAGTTAAACGTTTCTCTGCTCTTAATCTTCCACTACCAGTCATTGGTGGACATAATTTCCATAATTTTGGGTGAAAACCGCAGAATATCCATTAATTCTTTCTATATTTGAAATAACATAAACAAACAAACACGCAAGAATAAAAACAAAGCAAAATAATGTAAAACATAAAGACGAAAAAAAAAAAAAAAACCAAGCAAAGGAAAAGAACAAAGAAAAAAGACATAAACAAGAAATAAAAAAGAATACGAAACAGACGACAACGAAAACAAAACGAAACCGACCAAAAAAAAAAAGAGAAAGTAAAACACAGTCCAAAACAACAACAAGAAAAACAACAAAACAAACACAAAAGAAACAAAACAAAATTATTCACGAATTCTCGTGTGAGTTTGGGTCGTGGACTGGTCATTTCGCATGTCAGTAGCGAATGAATAGAAAGACAGGAAGAGGGTCACAATAGGCCAGAAGACTGAAGATGCTTTCAGTGCCTTTTTTAAAAATTATTTTGTTAACCAAGATGCCAGTAAGCGATCCAACCTCTTGTACCAACCAGGAAGTAACACTGCTCGTGCTTTTAGACCTTAGTGCTGCGTTTGACACGATCGAGCATTCCATTCTCCTAAATGTCCTCGAACGAGATTTTGGAGTTACTGGCACCGCCTTAAAATGGTTTGATTCGTTTCTATTTGATCGCAAACAGCGTGTTCTAAACAGTGGCAAAGCGTCTGACGATATTTTTCTTAATTGTGGAGTTCCTTAAGGCAGCTGTATGAGGCCTGGGGCCTGGGGCCTGGGGCCTGTTCCTTTGACTCTCCATGTTTTCCTTTTTCATACAATCTCTCATCACCTTCCCTCCGCCCATAGTTATGCAGATGACACTCAGCTCTACTTCTCCTTTCGACCTAAGTTCCTGGAATCTCAAGTTGAAGCTATCAAAGTTCTGGAGAGCTGTATCGCTGAGGTGCGCTCTTGGTTTATATCCAATCGCCTAATGATTAATGACATAAAAACAGAGTTTCTTATTATCGGCTCCCGCCATCAGCTGGCAAAGGCGACAATCAATTCTATCGTCTTTGTTGAATCTAGCATTAAACCCTCAGGAAGCGTTCGAAATCTGTAGTAAAGCTTTTCACGGTCTGTATAAAATAAGACAGATTAGAAAATTCCTCAATGTTAGGCACGACAAAAACATTGGTCCATGCATTTGTATCCTCTCATCTTGACTACTGCCACGCCCTTCTCTTTGGCCTACCTAAATATCAACTTGATCGCCCTCAGAAAGTCCAGAACGCAGCAGCTAGAGTTGTTTTTCAATTGTCTAAGTTCGACCACATAATGCCTGCTCTTGTTGACCTACACTGGCTCCCTTTAGAGTTCCGAGTCCAGTTCAAACTGCTTCTCATTGTCTTTAAGTCCTTACATAACCAAACTCCAGATTATATTAACGATCGTCTGTCTATGAAAACCGAATCCAACTATTCTCTTCGTTCGTCCTCACAGTTTCTTCTCTCAGTTCCCAGAGTCAACTGTTCTACATTTGGGGGTCACGCTTTCACCCACGCTGCACCGGTTTTATGGAACTCATTACCGCTGACGATTAAATCTAGTAGTATTATTTTTGTGTTTAAAAAAAGGCTGAAGACTTTTCTTTTTAAAAAGGCTCTTAAGTTGTGACTTTTGGTCTATTTGATA